TGAAAGAACACACAATATATATCATGTACGACTCAATGATAAGGAAAGATTGAACATCATCGATAAAGTCTAACTAACTGGGAGCGTTACTACCTCCATTTATGCAAAGTTTCAAGTCGAAATTCGAAAATAAGTTTTTACTGATGTTCCTCAAGGTGAATACGTCATTGGCTTAAAAAATGCCATAAAAGTGTAATATATTCGAACGAATTAGCTAAGAGTTTGACCTTTTTTCAGATTATTTATAATTCATTAAGATCTATATGATGTATACAGCCTCGACTCAGAAGCGATTAATTAGTTCGGAGACTTCTCTTATTAGTGTAATGTTCTTAGAGAACGAACAAAAGTTGTATGTATTGATTTATTTGTTCATAGAACATATAGAGTCAATAAGTAACTTTCGAAAAATTTTACTTTCTAATTGTATAATTTTGAATACGAATAATTATCATATTTCTTAATATTGTATAATTTCGATCTTGATCGTTTCTAGTCACATACAGATCGGTTCCAATCCTCTAAAAGTCAACTAAACAAACAGAATATTATAGATTCGAATTGCGATCATAACGATTAACCAATTATAACCAAGTTTAAATACATCTAACTAACTAAGATTGATCTTGAATGTTAAAAAAAAATCATTTCAGTCGAAAAACATCAAACCTTCACTTCAGTAATTTTTTAAGTAGGTCTAGACTATTACATTCTTTCGAGGCCGACGTAAACGTAGACAAGATAAAGTCATCCATCCTTTACAATAACTAATCATATAGGACTACTACCAGAGAAAGAAACCGATAGATACCGCTCTTTTATGTCAAAACATTAGTTCTATCTCTTGTCGACTAACTGTTCTCTACAATCTTACAGAATAAATGTAACACAAGAGCACGTAGTTTCTACATAAAATAATTTTGTATGATCAAAAAAAATTCCTAAAGCCATAATACATGCATTTAGAGAACATATCCTCCACTGGATTTATATATTACCATAGATAAGGCACGTCCTTGAATTTTTATTGGTCGGTGATGTAGACGCATTTTCATCTTTTATTTATTATTACGTATACTTTGTCTGAGTGCTGAGAAAAGAGCAAAAAGTATAATTAAAAATAAGATTTTTGCATTTTGTTTCGCACTTAGATAATTATTATAAACAAAAAAGTTCCTTATTGCAGTTATCTGTTCAAACATGAAAACATGTATATGTTCATTGTTTTATCGAAACGGGTTGTGATTGAAAAGAAAATTACAGAGATTGAAGATCATTTCTTTAATGATGCTGGATGATTTCGAATAGGATCAATAGAGATTTTTCAATTCAATTTATTCCATCTACGAGAAAGTATATCTTATATCGAATTGATTTGCCTGTTCACTCTTTCAGTTGTTGTGTGAATCTGTTGAGATAATCAAACGCAAATTGATGAAGTTTCCTATTGTAATCTTCATCATTTTTTTTTTTGCATTTTTGTTTTAATGCTAGAAGAATTTTTTGGTGTAAAATATTCAAGCAACGTATGTTTCTATCGAATCATATTTTTTTAGTTTCGAAAATCCGCTTCTGGTAACTTTTCCATGATCATTTTAGTAATGCCTGTTATCAGCTGTGTCAAAACACACAACCATCGATGATGCAGCAATTCAAGTATTTTAGCGAAAATCAGTAAAAACTCTTTTATTTTTAACAGCAGCGAAAATGTTTTGTAATTGACAATATCAGCCAAGAAAGACTATCGAAAATGACAGAATTTACTTTTGTAGAAAAACTGCAAAAGTAAGTTCTGTATAGACTATCTTTATGATGGAACTAACTGATATTGTGCAA